CACCTGTTTCCATGGCATACCCACAACTACGGCGCAGTCCCTCACATTAATACAGCGCTTTGTACTTCAAAACCACCTCTCCACACTTCATCATCTTTCAAAGTCATGGCAGCCCTGGGACATCATTGTTAACTCATTTCGCAGCTAAGGAAGCTGAGAACTAAGAGGCGGTAACTCCGAGACTCAATGTTCCCATCTCTAAAATCAACTCCAGATCCCTTCAGCCCGTTCGTCGCTCCCAGGTTCCCTGCTCCCAGAGTCGTGTTCCGCGCAGCACTGACCTGAGCGAGCGCCCCGGGGCCCGGGACCTCGCGCCGGGCTCACACCGACTAGGCGCGCTCGGGCCGCCAGAGCCTCGCAGCGGCCGGGTCCGCTCCGCAGCCATGGCGCCTGCAGGGAGAGAAAGACAAACGGCCCGAGGCGCGGCTGGTCAGCAGGGGCGCGGGCGCCTAAGAACCCCCTCCCCGACCGGGCCCCGCCTCACATACAGACCTGGACCAGCGGCCGCCGCTCGGGGTCTGCAACCTCACAGGGGAGCGGCTTCCGGTGCTGCCTGCGTCATCTCCGCGCGTCCCTCCGCCCGCGGCGCCCAGCGGACGCGGGTGCACTTCCGGCCCCGGCCTCGAGGGGGAAGCGGGCGGGCTGAGGAGAGCGCCCAGGGAGGAGGGGCATGCGCAGTATAGCTGGGACCTGTGGCGCTTCATCCTCGACTTAACTTCCGTGCCGTGTATCGGAATTTGTCCGGGGCCTTGGTGTCCTTCGTCGGACCGATCCGACCTTGCACAAACTCTGTGGCGCTTTTCCTTATCCTCACTTTTCGGAGGAGAGGGAGGAAAATTTGAGAGACGTGTCCAAAGTGAAACAACCCATTGAGCCGCCTATCATGCATATCCCAAACACTATTCTAGGAGATAGGGTTAGTGAGCAAAAAGTACAAAAATACCCGGCCGCCTGGGGTTTATATCCCAGCGGGGGAGGCTGACAGATAAATAACTAAGCAAGGCATGGTGCAAGTCTTAGCAAGTGCTCACGAAAAAAATAAAGCAAGTTAAGGGGATTGGTGACCGAAACAAAGGAGTCAGGTGATCTAGGTTCAAATCCCAGCTCTTGACACTCCCGACTGTGCCGTTGGCCTTACTTACGTAACATCTCTGGATTTATATTTGTCTTCTGCATAGCAGTTATAGTACTTCCTCGTGTGATCCTTCTGAGGACTGAAAGCTGAAGCATAAATCTTTAAGCATCAAAGAACAAAAATTGTGTGCTTCCTATGGGCCAGGCACTCTCCTGATCACTTTGTGTTACCGCATTCAGTTCCCACAGTAGCCCTGCATAGTAGTTACTATTATTAACTCTTGTTTTTAGATATGAGGAAACCCGGGTCAAAAGAGGGTTAAGCATCCTGCCTAAGGTCATCATAACCGGCTATCTTAGGATTTCAACCCAGCCCCCCTCCCCCCGACTTCAAGAACTTAAATTCTCCTTGTCTCTCCCTAAGGGCTCATAAACTGCGAACACGCGTATCTTATACCAGCACCTTCCAATAGGACTTTCAGCAATTATGTCCCCTATTTACATTGTCTAATAAGGCAGCCACTAGCCTCTTGTGACTACTGAACACTTGAAAATGCCTAATGTGACTGAGGAAATACAATTTTAATTAATTTAAATATAAATAGCCACATGTGGCTAATGGCTACCCTATTGAACAGACTGGTCCAAGAGATAGAACACGTAATATAGACAGTAAGACAGTCACGTATCCAGTTAGTGTTAGGGAATGACCAAGGCGCCAAGCATCCTGAGTCCATCTAGTACGCTTGAAACATGGAAAATACAAATTTGACTATGTGAAGTAGAAGCCAAGTATGGTGTCTTGAAAGTCAGGCTCCACGAGAGCAAATTTGATTTGGTAGGCAACAGAAAGCCTCTGTAGACATTTAAGCCAAACAGTGACTGATGACAACATTATAAGAAATTTTAGGAAGACGTGTATGCAGATCAGATAACCTCTATGAAAGGCAAAGCAATACCAAGGTAATTAAGAAAAACAAGCCCCCCTATCAATTTGTAGCAAACAAATTGTGGTAGGAGTTTGATGAATCAAACTGAAAATCCCAGACAGAGGTGCTCTAGAGGCAATGTTGTTAGACCTTCTCATGAACAAAGAAACCAAATTGTCGAAATTGAAGCAAGAGGAGATCTGGGAGCAAAATTTATAGCTCTAAGAGATGAAAATTGCAAAATAGGATTTGTATTTAGTTGTTAAACTTAGAATGTATAAAAAATTTCCTTTCATATGATTTTTTTTAGTTAGATTTTCCCACTTTGTAAAAATTTCCAAGATTGCACGACAAATGGCTGAGCAAACATTGACACTTTTCCTAGCCAAACAATTACAAAAAAATGCCCTGAGTGGCAGGCAGGAATATCAACATGTGAAAAGAAGAAAATGGTTCAGCCCTGCCTGAAAACAGAATGCTCAATACAACTGCTTATGTGACAGCAACATGAAAATATGCTGAATGTTGTTTCCTTTCTTAAACTTGCTGGTAGAAACAGTGTTTGGAATAATCCCTACATATTCATGCCCCCCAGGAAAACGGCAAACAGCAAATGCTTAGTTCCTTCAGTTCTGGCTAAAATGGACTATGTGTTGTTTTCCAGTTTGAGATAAAAAATGCCTGGGTAGGTAGTTGGGGTGACATATAATTGATTCAGTAAACTTCTTGCATAGCCTAGACTAGGAATTCAAAATCCTTCCCAATGAGACATAAACCAAAACTTTCATACGCTGTTTCTTTGGGGAGGAAAAAAAAAAAAAAACGCACCCATTAGGGATGATAAGTATTCCTTGATGTTTTAGTACATGTCTTGCACATGCATATACCAGGGAGCAGGAACTAGTCCAATTGTTTAGTTTCTTGAGAGCACTCTAAAACATACTGTATGACATTTCTCCTTGTATTATGATGTTTGAGAGGTGGTGTAAGTGAACTGCTCTTTCAGGAATTCACCATACCGGCAACAGGTCAGTTTCAAAACATATACAAGGTTGGAAGCGTTTGAAAAGGTTTGTGTTCTCCATTCTTTGTTCCGGATTCACTCTAGCTGTAACATTATCTGCACTTGCTTCCCTATGGAGTCAGCAGGTATTCTGGGACAAAAGCTCAAGTTGATTGGAAAGAAACTTTATCCTTAAAGTCTCAGGCACAAAGCACCTTACCGCAATTGCTGTTAGACTGGAATGATGCTGAGAGCTACATTTGGACATAATTTTGGCATCTGGATTCAGTAATTTCCAAAGTCCTGAAACGGTTCACAGACAACATGCAGGTAAGTTTCTTAAATCTTGGAAGCATTTGATATCTATTAAAATAGGTTTGAGAAAGCTGAAGTTTCTTCTATGTGCACATCATCAGCTTTGAGAAAATGGAATGGAATTCAGATTATAATTACAGGGATTTGTTTTGTTTTGTTTTGTTTTGTTGCCTATTCATTAGGTATAGGAAAGGAAAAGATGGGGGTCAGGATTCTCAGTGGTTAAGCTTTGGACTCTCCCAGACTTAAGTTCCAATTACGACCCTTCCCCACGCCCTTACCCACTGAGATGATCTTTGGCAAGTTACTAAACTTGGATGCTCACCTTAATTTTGGAAATAACCTATATGAAAGGGATGTTACCAAGGCTAAGTGAATTAAGTCATTTAAAGTGCTTAGCACAGTGCCTGACACACTGCAAATGCTCAGTAAGAGGTAACTATTATTATGGAAGGCTTTGCCAATCAAACTCCAATAGAAATTTAATTTCTTTAATGTTCCCTTGCTCTGTTATATTACGATACTGTATATGCCCTTCCAGATGGAAAGTTTCCATCTTCTTTGATGATGTGGAGTAAGCTTGGCACAGAGCCATCCTAGATCTCTGAAGGGGTGCTATGCAGATAGTGGGAATTTGCCCATATTGGCAGATGTGTTGAATGGATTAGGGGACATCGCTAAAACAGACAATGTCAGAAATCAGTATCAGATTAAATTGGAAAGTCATAGTAGAAGGATGTAAATGTTTGATAGTAGCCATTGTTCACTGGCCAACAAAAGCAACTACTTCATGGAAAAATAGCCCTTGACCTTTGTAATTAGAGAAGAAACTGATCCAAGTGCTTCACTTTCAGAAAAAAAAAATCATATATTTTCCTGTAGGCTTTTAGCACAATAATTCTGCTTGTTACTTTATATCCATATGTCTATGCCTGATTCCTCTTTGCTTTTCCAATGTCTAGCACCGTGCCTTGCATATAGTAAGTAGGCTTTCATCCAAACAAGCGAGAAAACAACCAACTAGCATTTTATTCAGCTTCTACTTCATGCCAAATACTGAACTCCGCAACAGTGGAGAAGAGAGAGCTGTCTCTTCTCTGCCAGCTGTCCAGGAGACCATGATCTAGTGGGAGAGACAGATAACAAAAATAAACGAGAAACACTTAAAATAGTGTATTTCTAAGTGCTGTAAGAAGTATGTATAGCATTCAGTGGGGGCAAAAATAAGAATGGAGACAAAGCTTGAATGAACATGTGTTTTCGTCTTATTTAGGTGACATTCTGCAGACTTCGGACTCACCAGTGGTGTTTCATTCTATTTAATGTTATCCTGTTTCATGCTTTGCTTTTTGGGGCTGATTTTGTGGAAGAATACTTTCTGCATGCTTTGCCTTATGTGGATATGAAAGCTCTTGAAATTAAGGAGAAGGCAAGAAAATTGAACACGGAGCCCCTAAGAAGTAATCTTTCCAAGTATTACATCCTGAGCCAGTTGGAGCTGTGTAAAGGGAAGAATATATTTTTACTCTCTCTTATCTTCAGTAGCCCGGGAAATGGAACAAGGCGGGACCTCATCAGGAAAACCTGGGGTAACGTGACCAGTGTTCAAGGGCACCACATTCTCACACTGTTTGCTTTGGGAATGCCCGTTTTGGTAACTACCCAGCAAGAAATAGACAAAGAGTCCCATAAGAATAATGATATAATTCAAGGAATCTTCTTGGACAGTGCTGAGAACCAAACCCTGAAAATCATCACGATGACACAGTGGGCTGTGACTTTCTGCCCTAATGCCCTGTTCATTCTTAAGGTTGATGAAGAGATGTTTGTCAATGTCCCAAGCTTGGTAGACTATCTTCTTAATCTGAAAGATCACCTGGAGGATGTCTATGTAGGAAGAGTTATTCATCAAGATATACCCAACAGGGATCCTAATAGTCAAGAATTTGTCCCTTTCAGCAAGTACCCAGAAAAGTACTACCCAGATTACTGCAGTGGCGAGGCTTTTATTATGTCCCAAGATGTGGCTCGGATGATGTATGTGGTTTTCAAAGAAGTACCCATAATGGTTCCTGCTGATGTGTTTGTAGGAATTTGTGCAAAGTCTATTGGCCTTATACCCATCCACAGTTCAAGGTTTTCTGGAAAAAGGCACATCAGATACAACAGATGTTGCTATAAGTTCATTTTTACATCCTCAGAAACTACAGATATTGAAATGCCCCTGGCGTGGAAGGAAATTAGCAGTGGGAAAGAATGTACCCTGTTTGAGACTTACTACGGGCTCATTTCCTGCAAACTTCTGACATACTTTGACACCCTTAAACGTTTCCACGTGGGTACCATAAAAAATGATGGCATGTATTTGGGTGATTAGTTTTGTTTTTGTTTTTTTTTTTTTTTGCTTTTTATTATAAATTTGGTCTTTTTAAATTAACTCATACCTCGTTATAGAAAGCATCCCTCCTTCCTTGTGTTTTATGTACTTTCTTTTAGCGAGTTGCAAAACGTTATTAGTGCTCGGATGTACTACATCATATTGAGATTTCATGTTACGAAATCTGAGATAGCACTCTTTTCAAAATAAAACATTCTATCCAAAAAAGGGAGAACATGACATTTAATTACAACCCAAAGTCTTGTTTCTCTTTGCAGTCATTGAATTTATAAAAATCATATTCTGTGGAACTGTCATGATTCAGCAATAGCAATGGCAACTAATTTTTGCGAATGCCCAGAATTAAAGGCAAACACCAAGGAATTTGTTGAACAAAATTGTCATCTTGTATGTAAGCAGGAAGCATTTTACTCATTGGGTAGTGGAATTACATTTAATTTAAAAGTATGAACCACATAGTATATGGACTTGGATAGTTAACTCTTTGTAAAGCAATTTTCATCAAGTTCTAATTAGCCAGTGCTTTACAGACGGGATGCGACACATTCACATTCCCTGCTAATGTGTACACTCTGAGTTAGTTTCCTAGAAGTGCTGTAAAAAAAGTACCACAAACTCGGTGACTTAAAACAACAGAAATGTATTTGTTCTAGTTCTATTTTGTATGACAAATTTTTTAATGTTTCTTTATTTTTGAGAGACAGAGTGAGCCTAGGGGAGGGGCAGAGAGAGGGAGACACAGAATCAGAAGCAGGCTCCAGGCTCTGAGCTGTCAGCCCAGAGCCCGACGCGGGGCTCGAACTCACGAGCGGTGAAGATCATGACCTGAGCCACCCCAGGCATCCCTATTTGTTGTAGTTTTAAAGACTAGTTTTAAAGACGAAATCAAGGTGTTGGCAGGGCCCTGCTCTCTCTGAAGACTGTGAGGGAGAATCCTTCCTTGTCTCTTCGACCTTCTGGTGGTTGGCAACCACTCTTAGCATTCTTTGGCTTGAGGACAGACCACTTTAATCTCTGCCTCCATCTTCACACATGGACTTCTCTCATGGGTCTGGGACTTTGTATAATCTCTGCTCTGTGCTATGTCCAAATTTTCTCATTCTTCTAAGGACATCAGTCATTGGATTAGGACCCAAATGACCCCATCCTAACTTGATGACATCAGCAAAAACTCTATTTCAAAATAAGGTCACATTGACAAAAATCAGGGGTTAGGATTTCAACATTACCTTTTTTGGGGACACAATTTAACTCACAACACACTTGGTGATTTCTCTTGTGGAATAACTAGGCACTAGATCAATGTTCCCATTCTGGGGCCCTCGGAATTTTAGGTGTCCCCGAAGTAATACACTTTGAAAATCTCTGCCATGACACTTACTACATCATCTTTCTGGATATATTACTAAAATATACTGAGCCTCAGTCTATGTACAGATTCAGCCTTGTAGGACCCGTGGACTAAATGAGACATGTCAAGCATCTAGCATTGGATTTGGCCCATAGAAAATGACCGATAAGAAGAGGTAGCCTTTAAAAACACACGTTCTGAGTGTAACAGCTTAGGTTCAAATCTTGGCTCCACTTATCTGCTGTGTGATCTTGTACAAGTTCCTTATCTCTGCTGTGCCTCAGCCTCATGTGTAAACAGGGTAATAATAGTATTTTATTCCTGGGAGAGGAAAAAGAGCAACATGAGTTCATAGATGAAAAGCTTTTAGAACAATGCTTGACAAACATTTGTCTGCTATTATCCTCAAAATATAACCAAGTAAAACATTTGACTAGCCACCAGGAAGCCAGGTTAACATTCTGGCTCTGGAATGTGCAATCTGTAAGAAATAGTAGCTACCATTAGTAATAATGATTAAGAATTTTGTAATTTTCCCCTTTAAGTTCCAGGCTTTGGCCGTATCGCCTTGTAGTTCCCCCAAATGTTTCCTGTTTTCATGTCTGTCCCGTTTGCCCTGCTACTCTCCTTTATTTCTCACTTGACTATCTCCTACCGGTTCTTCGAGTTTCAGGTGTTTCCTTCTCTGAGAAACCTTCCTTCAAGTCTAGGGTAGGTGTTTCCTGTTTTTCTCTATTCTTGTACTTACTATACACTAATGTTCTATTTCTATTTCTGATAGAAATTTGTTTCTATTTTCCTCCACTATTAGTCACTTGCTACCTGTGTGATTTTGAGATAAGCTACTTAACTTCTCCGAGCTCGGGTTTCTTCATCTGTGAAATACAGATGTAAAAATATAAACGAGATTGGGACGTCTGGGTGGCTCAGTCAGTTAAGCATCCAACTTCGGTTCGGGTCATGATCTTGCATTTTGTGAGCTCGAGCCCCACATCGGGCTCTGTGCTGACAGCTCAGAACCTGGAGCCTGCTTAGGATTCTGTGTCTCCCTCTCTCTCTGCCCCTCCCTCATGCTCTAATAAAAACATAAATAAAACATTAAAAATTATATATATAAATGAGATGAACTTAGCATTTAGGACAATGTCTAACACTTTTTCCCAATGCCATGCACATAATAAGCAGTCAATAGTGTTTATTTGTTAAATGTGAAAAAAAGTATGAAATAAATAATAATTTTCAAATTTTATTTAATCGTAGAAAAAAGTCACAGGTGCAAAGTCAGAATGAGTGCATAGGCCACACACACATAGGAGAGGGCCACTCTCTGAACTCTGATGTCAAATGAATAAGATCAACTTCATGAATGAGATTAAACAAAGTCACCTTAAAGAGATAGAATGTTTCTCAGGCCAGGAAAGACTTTGCTGTAGCCTAATTAGTGGTATTAGCTGTAGAGAAATGATTAGTATGGAAACACACGAAGAAATAGACCCACAGAGGGATATAGGAGATGGTGGAACCGAGAATCTCACACTGTTTGATCAATGTGAAATGATCAATCCAGGGACAAGAGAACTCCAGGAACTTGAGGACCATTTTGTTACAGAGCAGGGATGGTTTATCAACATCACCATGGCCTAAAAGAAACATATCTCTGGATTCTGAACGGTCACACTCACCCAGAAACCTGTGACTGAGGATTGGTATGCAGAGTGCTCTTCCGGTTAGAAAGCAGGGCACTGGAAAGAGGTGGGAACATTTTGTCAATGAAAAGAAAGCACATCCTTTGTTAATCAATGAGATGGCATCCTGGTTTATATATACTAGCTGCCATCTGACTCTGGTTATTAGGAGTCAGTATCTCTCTCTAATCAATTCAATACTGACTTGATGGATCTGAGAAATTAAAAGCAAAACCCTCAACAACTGATGGCCCACCAATAAGACAAGAGTTTGGGGAGTCTTCCTGCTTTAGGAATGTTACCACTCCTCCTTAACATTTACTCCTCCAGCAAAATTCAATGATCAGCAACAAAAACGCGAAGAATACTAGAAATGTTTTTAAAAGATTTATTTATTGTCCGTTTTCCATAATAGTAACAAAAAAATCCAAAGACACCTTATTAAAAGCATTTATTCTTAGTATGGAGAACATAATTTCAAAATTCCATATTATTTTTCAAAGAATCTTTATATCCAAGACGTTGCAAGTGGAATCAGAAGGGGGAATAGAACAACAAAAAAGGTGCTGAAGAGAATTCAGAAACAAGTTGGTTCCATTATTCTATTTGAAGCACAATTTTAAATAAAATGGGGTAAGTCCATGAAAATTTTCTGAGAACAAAACTTCCATCTTCTTGGAAAGATTAAGGCAGTCAAAGAAATCTGAAAAACACCTGATGCAATTATGATCAGGTTTGCCTGCTTTCCTGGTTCCACACTGTATTTCAATGTAGAAACACCACAAATGCATGTGATAAAGTTACATTAGATACTCCATGATTAATTCTGGGAGAAGGGAAGTCTCTGTTTTGTAAAACACTGGTGAAGTCAAATGCCTTAGGAGAAGTTTTGGTCAAAAAATGGTCTACCTTCTTGAAGAAATCATTCAGCTCCTTCCACGGCTGTTGTGGAAATAGGTTTCACATAGTATGGACCTTCACTCAGGTAAGTTCTGAGCCTCAAATAATTTGGGTTCCCAAAGATTTCTGCAACTGTCTTGGAATTGGCAAGTGCTTTAACCAGTTCATATTTGGCATCCTTTGAAGCTTTGTCATGCTCCACAGACCGGTCCATCACATATTCCACAAACCCTGGACTATTAAACATAAGTTTCTGAGCCCAGGGTTGATTTGCGATGGCCTGAAATAGAAGGTAGAAAGAACACAACTCCTCTGAGCCTTAAGAAGTGAAATGTGTTACTTAGATAGCACAATCCTTACAAAAAATTTTGGCCACATGAACCTTAAAAATGTTACTTTTTGCCTAAGAAAATTCTCTCCTAGAAATCTTAAGAAAATAATCTAAATATTAAATATTAATCTAAATTTTAGTTAAATATTTAATTAAATAAAGAAATCTAAATATTAAATCTAAATCTACATATTAAAAAGCTTTGTACATAAAGATGGTTATCATAGTGTGAAAATTATAATATAAATGCTTAATAGTGGGGGATCGGTGAGTATATTTTAGTATATAGCAAGAGAAAATTAAATAAACATTAAGAATAATTTTTATAAAGAATAGGTAAATCTATGATATGAAAAAAGTAGATCCAAATTATACTCATGGCATAATCACAACAGTGGAAAAATAAAAACAAACACCAGAGAAGAAAAGACTATCCTGAAAAAACTCTCACGCTTGTGCACAGGATGACATTTTCAGAATGTTCATTATAGGACCATTTGTTACAGAGAATCTCTGAAATCTTCATTGACAGGAGAATGATTAACTGTGGCTATACAATGAAATAATGACTTTCTAATTGCCACTTTTAACACAGACAACCCCTACAAACAGAAATGTTGAAGAAAACAGCAAAGTGCAGAATGATATAAACAGCATGATACTGTTTACAAAATTTAATGTGCAAAATACTGTAATTTGTTTAAAGATACACACATATGTAGTAAAAGTATAAAATCATGTATAGGCTTGTAAACCCTGAATTCATGACAGTGATTACAGTCAGCGAGGAAGGAAGGGGGAATGACAGAGATAGGAAAGTATTACCGATGTCTGAAATATTTTACCAAAAAAAGGTAAATAAATAAAAACTGACACTAACACTAATATTAAAAGGAGATATATAAAATAGGTCTGATTTTAAGTGATTTTAAAAATTTCTACTTTGCAATCTTTTCCAAATTTTAAAATAATGAATAAGCAACTTTTACGAGAGCTGACACTGCTTAACTCAACCTTGTGGGTTTGGGCAAAGCTTGCTGAAGAGATACCTGAGCTAGTCCTTCAAGAATGAGTGAGAGGTTAACAAGCAAAGTTGGGAAACAGCGCTGAATGTAGAGGGCACGTAAAGGTCCAGAGAGATAAAGTAAGCAGTTTGGTATCACTAGAGCATTGGGTGCCAGAGGGGGAATGGCGGGAAATAAGGCTCAGGAAGAAGACTAGGGCTGGGTCAACAGAAGGCTTGTTTGATGGCAGATAAGGAATCTGGAATTGATTCTATGATCCTGTGGAATCCTGTTCAAACCTTTGCCACAACACCTAAGACCTTGAGCTGAAACAATCTGTTTACACGTCTCCCTCATTTGTCTACACTAATAGAGGGCAGAAACTACACATTTGTGTATCCCCAAGGTATGGCAGAGGCACTAGCTCATCATAAGTACTCATGTGTTGAACTAGCCTCTTCCCAGAAGGACTGGTGAAAAAGACAAGGATGCCTACCGTGAACACTTTTAAGGCAGCACAGTGCAGTTCAGGGAAGGGCTGATTACTGATGCCACGGAAGAGCTCCAGCGGGTCCCGAGATAAAGAAGAAAACCACGATTCTGTCATCCTCAGGAGGTCATCAGTCTGCTGCTCAGGCTACATGACAGAAATGAAAACTCTCAGGCCTCTGGAAGTCAGGAAACCTGGATTCTGATGGCACTTTGTCATTAGTTTGCTATGTGATCTCTGCTAAGTCCGGAGCACTCTTTCCCAAATCCAGCTCCAGACTTCCTCAGTTTTGTTTTGTTTTGTTTTTCTGATAGGGTTGATTAGGCAATCTCTAGGGTCCTCTCTCCAGTTCTTTAAAAAAAAAAATTTTTTTTTAACGTTTATTTAGTTTTGAGAGAGAGAAAGAGAGACAGACCATGAGCAGGGGAGGGGCAGAGAGAGAGAGAGAGAGGGAGACACAGAATCCGAAGCAGGCTCCAGGCTCTGAGCTGTCAGCACAGGGCCCAATGCGGGGCTCAAACCCATCAACCGTGAATCATGACCTGAACCAAAGTTGGACACTTAACTGACTGAGCCACCCAGGCGCCCCCTCTCTCCAGTTCTAATACTGGATGATTCCACTTTAACTAAAAACATGTCACTAGTAACATAGTGAGGATTATCTTCTTTTACTAAAAGTTGAATACCATCTATATTAAGTTAACCAGGATTATGTTGACTTATATAGATTTATTGTCCCAAACATATCCCACTATCCTTCATTAATTTCCCAATGTACTTACTGGTATATAAAAAATAGACGAAATTGCATCCAAACACCTAATTTTGAGCTCTGTTGAGGCATTCTTTGCTTGATATCCTATTTTCATGAGCAAGCGTTCAAAGCGAGTTCCTTTGAAAGATAATAAAACATTTTTTATGGTGGTAAAATACACATAATATAAAACTTATCATTTTAACCATTTTTAAGTATATAGCTCTGTGACATTAAGTATATTCATATTGTTGTGCAACCATCATCACTATCTGTCTCCAGAACGTTTTCTTCATCTCAAACGGAAACTCTGTACTCATTAAGCAGTAACTCTCCATGTCGTCTACGTCCATCCCCTGATAACCAGTATTTTACTTTGTCTCTGTATATGTTACTGCAAGAACCTCATATAAATAGAGTCATGTAATATTTGTCTTTTTGAGTCTGGCTTATTGCACTTGCCATAATGTCTTCAAGGTCTCTGCATGTTACAGCATGGATGAGAATTTCATTTCATTTTTTTTATATTATTTTTTTTCATGTTTATTTATTTGTGAGAGAGAGGGTGGGGGGGAAGGGCAGAGAGGGCGAGGGAGACACAGACTCTGAAGGAGGCTCCAGGCTCTGAGCTGTCAGCACAGAGCCTGATGCCAGGCTCGAACTCATGAACTGCAAGATCATGACCTGAGCTGAAGTCAGACGCTTAACCAAATGAGCCACCCAGGCACCCCAAGAATTTAACTTCCCTTTTAAGGCTGGATATTTCATTGTATGTATATATCACATTTTGTCTATCTATTCATCCATCAATGAACATTTGAATTGTTTCTACTTTTTTTGGCTATTGTAAATAAGTTATGAATACAGGTGCACAAATATCTTTTGCGTCCCTTCTTTCAATCCTTTTGCATGTATATCTAGAAGCATGTTTGCTGGGTCATATGGTAATTCTATGTATAATTTTTTGAGGAAACACCATAATGTTTTCCACAGCAGCTGTACCATTTTACATAGCCACCAAATACGGGAATTTCTCTACATCCTTGTCAACACTTTTTATTTATTTTTGTCCTTTTTCTGTCATTATAGCCACCCTAATGAGTGTGAAGTGAACAATGAGATTTTTTTAAAACTTTAAAAGAAATTTTTTTATTGTTTATCATTTTTGAGAGAGAGAGAGAGAGAGAGAGAAAGAGAGAGAGAGAGAGAGAGCAAGCAGGGAAGGGGCAGAGAGAGAGGGAGACACAGAATCTGAAGTAGGCTCCAGGCTCTGAGCACTCAGGACAAAGCCCGACGTGGGGCTCGAACCCACAGACCATGAGATCATGACCTGAGCTGTAGCCGGCTGCCCAACCGACTGAGCCACCCAGGCACCCCAACAATGAGATTTTTTTAAAGTATGCTTTCATATACTATGACCTCCACCAACCTAAACCAACACAAAATTAAACATGTAGTCAGATGGGATGCCTAGGTGGCTCAGTCAGGCAAGCATCTGACTTTGGCTCAGGTCATGATCTCACGGTTTGTGAGCTCAAGAACTGCATCAGGCTCTGTGCTGACAGTGTGGAGCCTGCTTGGGGTTCTCCCTCTGTGCCCCTCCCATGCTCTCTCTCAAAATAAATTAAAGAGAAAAAAAAAACAACAACAAAAAAAAACCCCACATAGTCAGAGACCAAGTAACAGGCCAAAAACATACATTCAGATGCAATGCAGTGTATACAAAAGACAAAGTGTAGAGAATTTGGAATTAAAGGACCTGGATTTGAGTAGCAAATCCACAGTCTATATCATCTAAAAAAATGTTAACTTCTCTGAGTTTCAGCTACCTTATCTGTAAAATGAGAATGCATAATATGTTCTTTGCAGGACTGTATAAGGATTACATATCATACACAAAAGCACTTAGAAAAGTATATTAGTAAGGATACCAATTGTGACAGACAGTAGCACATTAATTTTCAACATTTACTCTGTAAGGGTTTTAACTGTGCCCATATTAGTTTTCATATAGAATTCACAGTCCTTTAAATTACTCACAGATGTTTGTAAGCGATGAATGATGGGAATCTACTCCCAAAGCCAAGAGCACACTGTATACACTGTATGTTATCTAACTTGACAATAAATTATATGTAAAAAAATAAATAAATAAAAATAAAGATTCCATAAAGATTAAATAAATAAATAATTACAGATATGCCTTAAAAGTATCATTCTTAACATAAAATTGGTAACAAATTTTTGTTTCTTTTTCTTCCTGGACATTACAAATATAAAACAAATGTGTGTTTTCATTAAATATTCACAATCCCGAGATTGTTTATCCTTTTTATGAATGAGGAAAATAAGACCTGAAGTAATGAAGTGAGGGCATGAAGTTCAAGAAACCAATTTGTCAATAAATTATATTAAAAAAAAAAAAAAAGCTAAGTCAGTGTTGGAACTGGAACATGAATCCAGGTCTTTCGGAGTATAGCCCATGGTCTCTGGACCTTGAACACTATCAAAGAAGGTGTAGAAGGGACACAGTACTTGGTCTAGCCTGGTAAAAAATAAACAAATAAAAATTCAGTAATAATTGTAAGACTTTCTAGGGATGCGTTCAAGGTCACAATAAAAAGACTGCCATCTGTAAGAATAGTTTCTACAATGTAGTTATTGCACCAGAAAGTGAGCTTATATATTGAATTGTTGCCAAAAACGAAGATATCCCTAAAGAAAACCCAAATAAGTCATACCAACCTGTTTTTTGTAAAACTTGTTTTCCTTCAACATTGGATCCCAGGATTCCGATTGTGTCCACTGCTACGCCAATCATGGTGGGGTCCTGACTTTCTGTCATTTCAAAGACTTTTTCCACAAAGACAGGATAACGCTCACAGATCTGCTGAGGACTATCCATGATAGCCAGGTTTCCAAAAAACTTCACAAATCCTGAAGAAATGTCCAAAAATATACGTTTTTTAAAAAATGTTAATTATTTTTGAGAGAGTGCACGAGCACTGGAGTGGGGGAGGGAAGAGAACGAGGAAAGAGAGAATCCCAAACAGGCTCTGTGTTGTCTGCTCAGAGCCCAACACAGGGCTCAGTCTCACTAACCATGAGACCATGACCTAAGCCAAGATCAAGAGTAGGACATTTAGGGGCGCCTGGGTGGCGCAGTCGGTTAAGCGTCCGACTTCAGCCAGGTCACGATCTCGCGGTCCGTGAGTTCGAGCCCCGCGTCAGGCTCTGGGCTGATGGCTCAGAGCCTGGAGCCTGTTTCCGATTCTGTGTCTCCCTCTCTCTCTGCCCCTCCCCCGTTCATGCTCTGTCTCTCTCTGTCCCAAAAATAAATAAACGCTGAAAAAAAAAAAAAATTAAAAAAAAAAAAAAAAAAAAGAGTAGGACATTTAACCGACTGAGCCACCCATGTGCCCTACAAGAATATACATTAATAGAGAAGGAAGGCCACATAAAATGTGGGCCCTATGTTTTCATACGGACAGTAATAAACTACAGGCCAGGAAGGGGAGAATGGTTATGCACTGTACTCTATTACCTAGAAATCAGACCATTAGGAGATACTGAAGGACCTGTGATATGTGGTCCTGAGAACAGAAACCCCAGGGTGTCAATGGAGCTGGGTTCAAATACTGAAGCACTGCCATACACAAGAGGAAGAGCAAAGAACAAGGACCACTGGATATAAATTAGAGGAAGGCAAGTTCGGAGTATTAGGGACAAATTAAAAAAAAAAAAATTTTTTTTTAATGTTTATTTTTGAGAGAGAGAGGCAGAGCGTGAGCACAGGAGGGGCAGAGAGAGGGAGACACAGAATCTGAAGCAGGCTCCAGGCTCCATGCTGTCAGCACAGAGCCCGACACAGGGCTCGAACCCATGAATCATGAGATCATGACCTGAGCCAGTCAGACTACTGAGCCAACCATGTGTCCCACCCCAGGAAATTTTTAAACAGAGATGCTCATCAATGAAGTAAGCTAGGCTACTTAAGGAAGGAATAAGTTTCCAATTTCTGCAAGTGCTCAAGGAAAACTAATTAACCATGTCCTACAACAGAATGGCTGGAGTAGATCCTATATTAGATAAAGATTCCAACAGAGATTTGATGAATTTGTGAAATATACTGTGTCATTAGTAGTATTAAAAAAAATTTTTTTAAATGTTTATTTATTTTTGAGAGAGAAACAGAGTGCATGCAGGGGAGGGGCAGAGAGAGAGAGAGGGAGACACAGAATCTGAAGCAGGCTCCAGGCTCTGAGCCATCAGCACAGAGCATGATGTAGGGCTCTAACCCACGGACTGTGAGATCATGACCTGAGCGAAGTCAGCCACTTAACCAACTGAGCCACCCAGTCGTCCCATTAATAGCATTTTAATTTATGTTGCTTTTGACTGAGGTTCAAAGGAAACTATCCTAATACTCAAAACAGCAATGGTATTTCCAGAAAATCAGATTCAACAATACATGGCTCCCAGGGCAATATATTCCACCTCATCAAGGGGCTATGGGTATCATCTAAAAGGACCTACTCTAGGGGCGCCTGGGTCGCTCAGTCAGTTAGGCATCCAACTTCAGTTTCAAGTCATGATCTCACAGCTTGTGGGTTCAATCCCCGCACTATACTCTGTGCTGACAGCTCAGAGCCTGGAGCCTGCTTCGGATTCTGTGTCTCCTTCTCTCTCTGCCCCTCCCCTGCTCATGCGCGTGCATGTGCTCTCTCTCTCTCTCTCTGTCAAAAATAAATAAACATTAAAAAGAATTAAAAAAAAATATACAGGGATCTGCTCTACAGAAAATAACCTCTGGCTTCTCTTGTCAGAGATAACTCAGATACAAAACATGCACCATTATTTTCGCAGAAATCAGTATTTCTTACCTGGCAAATAGAAGCTAGAGAAAGGGTCTGAATCTGCCCCAACAATTATATTAGAAATCTGATCAATTACTCCTTCTTGAGAAAGGTACTGTCGTCCATGTTGAGTATACGCCAGTGATGTCACCATTTCTACACAGGTGGCTCTAAAATGCCAAAATTTTGCATACGATTAACGTAGTTTATAAATTGCTTTCCTAGGATGTATTACTTAATTCTTTTAATCTAAAAGTCAGTAATCCTGGCTACTTTTCAGATGGGGACACAAGAATTAGAAAGCTGCAGTGATTCGTCCAGAATCACATTGTCACTACAAGGCAGAGTTTAAATTTTGACTTTTGACTTGAGGCCCATTATTGTTTCCACTAAAATAGAGCAACTTCTTAAAAGATTTTTTTTTTAAATTTTTATTTTGCTGAATTACTTTAAATCAAATTCTAGTCAACTTGCCATTTATCCCTGCATACTTCAGTATGCACCTTTAAAAAATATGAACAGTTCCTTACACAATTATAATGCCATGTCCTCATATTTTAAAAATTGATAAAAATTCTTGGTATCATGTAATAGGTACCTGTGATCAAATTTCCACAAATAATTTTTAAAAGTATTTTTCGGGGCGCCTGGGTGGCGCAGTCGGTTAAGTGTCCGACTTCAGCCAGGTCACGATCTTGCGGTCCGTGAGTTCGAGCCCCGCGTCAGGCTCTGGGCTGATGGCTCGGAGCCTGGAGCTTGTTTCCGATTCTGTGTCTCCCTCTCTCTCTGCCCCTCCCCCGTTCATGCTCTGTCTCTCTCTGTCCCAAAAATAAATAAACGTTGAAAAAAAAAATTTTTTTTAAAAAAAAAA